GCTTCTAATGTGAGGAAAAACACGGACTGACAAGTGTGGGAAAGAGCAAGCACTAAATTACTGTCAGAAAAATAAACGGAGCAGCACAGTGGTGCTCAGTGATTTACGGGGGCAATTAGTCACCACCCCACAGCGCTGGCTGCCGAGGACGAGGATGCCTGGCAGCAGACACATCAGGCCCACGAGGAGGAAGAGGCACTGCACTAAGCTCCAGATGACTTTTCAAACAAGAGCGAGACTGTGAGCACATGAGGGTCTATGTGTTCATTCTGGGTGTCTACCCTTCACACTCTCCACCAGCTTGGTAAATAAAGAGACTTTTAGTGCAGTGTTACGGTTCTGTGTGTTCAACAACCACAGCCGCAGCTTTCTTCTCTCAAGCTGCCCATCCCTTAAGACCACCCCCTTCACTTTCCTGTTGTCCTATGGTATCTGTGTCCTTTCTTCTTGCATTCTTCCACCCTGCTCCACATTTGTTTAGAACAACATGGTGCTAAGGAATTTAAACCAAACCTCCTCTGATGAAATTTGATGTGATAAAGGAGCCACAAATAAACTTGCCAATATTTGCACATATGTTCATTACCAATGCATTGTCTGTATACATGTAACAACACATTTGTTTATTTGGGTATGATTAATTGGCGTAGATTCCTTTACAAATATCTACTATCAAAAGAAACCTAGCATGGCAGATGACAGCTCTACAGAAAGACAAAGACCACAGTGACTAAAGGCCACATCTGAGTGGGGACAACAGCAAAGCTATGTAAGGAGTCCTCGTAGAGGTGACCGGAGGACATTGCCATCTCACGCCCGAAACACCTGCTCCATCAGGAATGTGTTCAGCGGCTTGGCACACGGTTTGAGATTGTGTCCCAACATACTTACCTTTGACTTTCAAACTGAAATTCCAAAGAGGCAGAACCAGGCTGATGATCTGGGTATCTGATGTGCCGTTCACCGGGACTCTGAACTTATTTCCCTCCCTTCCTCTCCCCTCTTAGCTCTTGTCTCTTCTCCCCATTCCCCTTAACACAGTGCCACTGTATAGCCCAGGCTGGCCTTGAACTCTCTACTCACCTTTAGGCCTACCACAAACAGCACTAGAGTTAAAGGTCTGCACATGCCAGTTAGACACTGCATGTCTGCTATGAAATATTAAAAAGGGAGGAACTCTAGCTTTTCTTGATATTTTCCTCCACATTATTAAGCCATTTCCCCCTTGAATTTTATAAGCACACACTTTAAAAAATGTTAATAACATGCGCTAAGATGTAGAATCACATTTCATAACCATAGTCACACTGGTTTTCTTTTCCCCTGTAACAATGAACACAAAGCCAACCATCAAGGGAGACGGATATGTTTCTCTGCAATATTTCAGGCATATGAAATTACTAAAATCTTACACAGATGCCAGAAATGGTGTAATTAAAAAGGTCCATCAATGCACAAAACCCATTTTTAAAGGCATCATGCAGTTCCCAGATTCTCTTTCCCCCAAAGTCATGTTGTGGTTTTTGTAGAGAGACAAACTGAAAACATCACCCACTTTTTTTTAAAATGAAATTTAAGGTATAAAATCTCTACCTTTCTGATAAACTTTGTTTTTTCTTTGATTTAGGTGGAACATCCTGAAATACTACCTCTATAAGGGCCACATTTTTATATACATATTATTTTTATTTAGGTATTATGTCTAGACAGAATTTAAGGAGGAGTGAAAATGACATTGGCTATTATAGTTATTTCTTGATTAAAATGCTAGCCTTTTGTATCCAGATTTGAATATCTACAAATCACAGAACTTTCATACTTTTCAAAGAGAGGATTTGGGTTGAATGAAAATGGAAGGCTGGAGCCTTCTACGTGTGTATGTTTGTATAGAATATTTATGCAGTATTCTGACTTGGCTATAATCTATAATTCTTGGCTATTATTTCAGTTGCAACAATAATTTTTAGATTAATGGTTATAATTTTAGTAAGGCACACATGAAAAGTTTTATGTTCATGCTCGAAAGGAGGATCATTAAATATTCATTATTACTACTCAGATTAGGTGTCAGGCTCTACAAAACAGTTATCATCTCACGAGTTTACATTCTGCAATAAGTGAATGACAGGCAGTGTGTGGCTCAGAGCAGTGGAGGAATTGTAGGGGGAGGGCTGGGCAACAGGGAGAGAAGTGATTTTAAAACCTCATTTGACATACTTATGTTGACAAATTATTTAGAGGTATTACTATATCATCAATAAATATGTTTATGTGTTGGGATGGGATAATGCAAGAATTTGCTTCTAGCTGCTTAATTACCCCATGATGGTGAAAAACATGTTTCTGCAAATAGGAGGAAAACACTGAGCTCCAAAGGCTGGGCTGTGGTAGTGGTTTGTGTACATCTGACTTCATCATGAGGAAAAGTGGCTTTGCTGTTTATAGTTAGCTCTCTCCATCTGTCATCAGATGTACTTATCAGAAACAGAAATGTAAAACAGATTGTTATAAATGTTGTGATGCACATATAGAGAGATTGTGTCTTATCAATCTATTTTGGAAAAATACACAGAGAAATAAATGCAATTATATTTTAATGCAAAAGAATATTTTGTTTTTTCCTTTCCACATGCCTTGACAGTACAGTTAGGTGAGAACACTGAGAGAGCCACTTGTGTAAAACAAATACACTAATCTCTCCATATTACTCAGTAATTTTACATTGGTTCCCTTTCCATAGGAAATAGCCATAAACTTGATTCCAACCACATGTAACTTTAGAGTTTTTGTCTTTAAGGGTCAGATTGTAGCCTATGAACAAATGCAGTTCTGCATTTTTCAACATTGCATCTGGACTCTTCATAATGATGGGTTATTTTTATTTTTTCTGCACTGAGGAGAGGAAAGAATATATAGGTCCATGAATCAATCTAGGTAATGGGGAAGGTGGAAGTAATAAATAATACAGTAACAACCCTAAACTAATGAGCTGTTGCTAAGGTACATCTCCTCGGCTCATTCTCTATATAAAAGTCACTAATGACCCCTCGGTGTAATCAGATGATAAAGCTTTGCCATAAGGCAACACCTGTGCAATTAGACCTGCAGATTCCTTTGCACGTTTCATTAATTTCAGGAGTTTGTAAAGGCACAATGACTACACTAATAATCTAGTCTACTTGACTCCATGTCTACTGGAAACAAAGTGTCTAATTAGATAAAGGTAATTAATTAGAGATAAATGGAGCTAATCAGGCTCGGTTAACACTAATTCTCTGAATTAAGACATTTTGGGACACCTACTATCCCGCTGGCTTTGATTTTCTACATAAAGTGTAAGTTTTAGAGGGATCAGGAATGCTGGCGTTTGAGAACTGAGCAGTCTTTTGATGGCGTATTTAGGCATCTGAGGCTGAAGAGTTTTCTTTCATATTGTGCTTTTTTTTTTTAATTTAAACCACCGTTCTCTTGTGCTTAAAGAATTCACTTTGTAGTTCTTCCAACCTGTGCTAGTCTCCACATAAATTTTAATAACCTTTGCTATCATTTTTATTATCTGTCTCGCCCACCAATGGAAGAAAAGTGCAAGGTGCTCTGGCCCTTAAATAAAGATTTAACTTGTTATATTAAGGAAATGTCAAGACTCATCAGCCTATACCCTAAAATTCTGGTTTAATTTTTATTTATTATTTTTGAAACAGAGTTTCAAAATCAGATTTGAAAAAAAAGAAGAAGAAGAAGAGAAAAAAAAACCCTGTTGTCTTGGCTGTCCTCTGAAGATCAGACTGTCCTTGAACTCAGAGATCAACCTGCCTCTGCCTCCCAAGTGCTTGGATTAAAGGAATGAACTGACACATCTCAAAATTTTGATCCTCTAAACAGAACAAATGCCTAAAATTTTGATCCTTTAGTTCTGATTCTTTAAAGAGGACAAAGCTCTTTTCACTTTGTTGCACGGTATGTTCTTCAACTGGAGAAATAAGAGCTTTGAAGTAGGAAGTTGTATGAATTCAAATTCGCCTCTTACTAAGTGAGCAGTCTTGGGAGGTTGCTTAACCTTGCTTATTTCCCTTGATTAGAAATGCAAATAAAGGGCTAGTGAGACGGCTTGGCAGCTGAGAGCACTGACTACTCTTCCATAGGACCTGAGTTCAATTCCCAGCACCTACATGGTGACTCATGATCATTTATAAAGGGATCTGATACCCCCTTCTGACCTGCAGGTGTACATGCAGACAGAGCACTCATACACTGATGAAAAACAAAAGAGAAAAAAAAGAGAGAAAGAACTGGAATAATCCTGATATGGGTGATAGTGACAGTCTCAGGAAGGTTTGTCCTATGAGTGCTGAGTGTAGTAACTACAAAGCTTGTCTGTTATAGGTCTGGAATGAACATGTAGCTCAGATCACAGTACACTGACTACAGAATAATCAACAACATTCCATTTTTCTCAGTCTCACAGCAATCCCTGCATTGCATTTAAAGACACCGAATGGCAAAATATTAAAATTTACTCCCCAAAAAAAAAAAATGTACCAAATTCTCTCTTGAACAATGTGAATTTATTTATTTACTTTTAAATAAAGGGAGGCTCCTTTCTCTGTGATAATTCCAGCTTTGTCAAGTTAACACACAAAACCACCCAGTACATGGACTGACCATTGATTGAGGAAAGGAAGACAACCAGCTAAATAACATAATCCCAATGGCTAGCCTGGGCTCATCCACCACCCTTGTTCAAGGTTTCAAGAGCAAATGAGTAAAAGCCCAGATAGCAGAGGAACTTTTTTCAAGTCTTTGCCCAAAACACTTTTGCTTCTGTCTTAGTGATTAAAGATAGATCCCATTGCCACATTCAGGTTAGCGTAGGGGATACAGCTAGAAGGTGCAGATGTGATCCAAAGAGGAGAGAAGAGCGGGCACTTGTTCAGCGACTGCAATCAGCCAACCTAACCCACACGATTTTCACTTTGCTGCTGTGAACTCTCCATGGAAACCTCGTGCTGACCTTCACTGCATACGATGACAGTTTAATGCTATGAAAGCCAGACATAAAGTCTTCAGAACACACAGCAGGCCTCTCATCAAGATAGTCTTTGTCTCCAAATACAAAGACTCAGCACAGGGCTCACTCGGCTGTAAAGTCAGCAAAAGGGTACCTACCAAGTTACTATAAAAGTCCTACAGACCCGGATGCTCAAGGACTAATCAGCTCTTCACAATTGTCAAACACATCATTTGGCATGTCTCCTCTGTCACAGTGGAGCTGAGGGGAATAGGACAGTGAGCAAGGCAAAACACATGGAGAGTAAGATAATGGCTCCAGACCCAGCAGGTCTCAAAATTGTTGGAAAGAAAAGAGATACTGGGAACCACCCAAAACTCAGATGGCACAAAAGCTAATGGTGGTGTCACCTGACATCTGCTGTGGGTCTGCCTTCTGAGATGAAGGTCCTCTTGGTGAGACAGAGTCACCAAGCAGACATCGAGGGGAAGGAATTGAAAGGGTTTTGAAAAAGGGAAAGGGAAGTTACCAGGTGTAAGAGCATAAGGGAAGGCAGTGTAGTTGAGAGTAGTTGGCACCAAGGCTAACCATCCTGGAACAAAAAAGGACAGTAGGAGACAGAGCTGAATAAATGCTGTGGATGGGGCATGGCTGCTTTGAATGCCTACATGATAGAGTCTTAGTTTACCAAGGAATCTACTTACGATCTTGAAAACAAGGGAAGTTTTCCATAAAGAACATTGATTTGATGGTATCTAATTACAAAGGAAAGAAATTAAGTTGGGTACTAGTCAGGAGACTACTGGCACAATCCAGGCACAGGTCCGGATGAGTTGAAACAGGGACTGAAAGAGGGTTGGACACATCCCTGAGGCACCACAGAAGACAGATTTAATGCCTACCTCATATGAAGGCATGTTTTGTAATGTATTTGGGAAAATCTGTTCATTCCTGGTCTATCCATATCAACTTGCCAAGAGGAATAATTATTTCAGTATAGAAGACCCAACCAAAGGCGGGCGGTGGTGGCGCATGCCTTTAATCCCAGCACTTGGGAGGCAGAGGCAGGCGGATTTCTGAGTTCGAGGCCAGCCTGGTCTACCAAATGAGTTCCAGGACAGCCAGGGCTACACAGAGAAACCCTGTCTCAAAAAAAAAAAAACCAAAACAAAACAACAACAAACAAAGACCCAACCAAAAGGTTGGTAAGATGGCCCAGTGTGGGAAAGCATTTGCCAAAAAGCTTGGTGACTGGAATTCAAGTCCTGAAACCTACATGGTGGAATTAGTGATCAAGTGTGGGAGGGCCCATTGTGGGTGGTGCCATGCCTGGGCTGGTGGTCCTGGGTTCTATAAGAGAGCAAGCTGAGCAAGCCAGGGGAAGCAAGCCAGTAAGCAGCATGCCTCCATGGCCTTGGCTACAGCTCCTGCCTCCCAGATTCCTGCCCTGTGTTAATTTCTGTCCTGACTTCCTTTGGCGATGCACAGCAGTGTGGAAGTGTAAACTGAATAAACCCTTCCCTCCTCAACTTGCTTCTTGGTCATGATGTTTTGTGCAGGAATACAAACCCTGACTAAGACAGTCCACCCTAGACATAGAACTATCTTGATTACCAGCAACTGACTGTAGATGCACCCATAAGCCTGACTTAGCCAGGTTAGATCCTGGGCTAAGCCTACATGTTTAGAGAAAAGACAGCTTTAATGAGAAGTCTGCTGTATGTATGTTCTTGAGACCTTCAAGGACTGACGTACAGGATGAATGCACAGTAGTGAACAAAATAGGTAGCTATTGAATTAAACCAGAAGTCTCAAGGTTACTGGGAAAATGACGATAGGTGACAGACAGACTAGACAATATCCCCTCTTTAATCTCTGTGGAAACCCAGAGAACAGAAAACATTTGGTTGTCAGCACTGAAGGATCACAAGTAGGAGGAGAAGGCTTCTGAGCCATGAGAACCAGGAAGGTGGGCTCAGATTCCATTCTTTTGGGTTGATGTAGATAAAAGTTTGACTCAGGACATCTAGAGAAGGGTTAGGCTGGGTTTGGGGATCTGTGTGTAAAGAACAGCTGAGTTGTGAGCTAATCGAGAGAGACAAAGGGGACAGGAGCACATAGTGGGGACACAGCCTGGAGAGAATCCAGAGCCAGTTCCTTAGAAGGATAAGATTGGAATAACAGTTAGTAATTTTAGTGCCATTCACAGTTTATGAAGGCCATCTCTTTTAATTTAGTGGACTAGTGACGGTCAGGGTCATAACTTTGCCTGTTTTGTCACCTACAAAATGGACAGACCCATTAAGGGAGTTAGAAATATTTTCATCCAATAGATGGAGAATGCATGCTGTTTTCACCTGGTAGAGAGAGAACCCTATGGCTGTGACTGAACCCGGCAATGGGGAACTAACAGCCCCCAAAGACCACATCAACAGGAGGATTTGGCTAAGGAAGATCGTCAAGAAGCTGGGTAGGAGCTCGTGGACGAGGGTGGGGGGGATACAAACAAAAGGAAAGGAAGGGAGCATTGTGGGGTGACCTCACAGGAACACTGGGGTGCCAGGTCTGAAAGCAAGGTAATGGTGACAAAAGCACATTT